CCTCACAGACTGGCTGCCACAGCACGTGGGTTACACTCAGCTGGTAGTGTTTAACAGGCCACTCTATTTTGAGACAGGGAAATGCTTGGGATCCCTGCAGAAGCCTGTGCAGAACTGCAGGATTCTCAATCTGTCAGCATTGGAGAAATGTCAGCATTGGAGAAAAAAATTGATAAAACCTGCTCGAGGATAGGAATGATCCTTCGGGTTAAAGTGCTCACAGTGTGGAAAAGATGTCTTGACATTCCAGTAGCAGAATTCTGTTGTCAGAACACCTCTGGCAACAGCTGCATGGCCTAGCTCAGGTGATCCTCACTGTAGAAGGGATCATACGTTCAAAATTAATGGGTTACTAAAAAGTGAGTGTGTAACAGAGAAGTGTCCAACTGGTTGCCCTCATGGAAACTGTCAGCTCCACTTTCCCATTGTCCTGAAACTTTGTGTTGAGCAGCTAACAGAGATCTACACTATTAGACACAAAATCTGTTTTGTCTCCTGTACTGGGAGAAGTCCCAAATGGGGCAATGGGCTTCTACCAGCCACATGCTTGCACAGCATTTGAGCAGCCAGAATTCTATAGCAAACTAGGGCAAGACTGAGGGATGGAGGGCTGCAGCAACAGAATATGAAGAGAGAAAAGTAATTTATATGTAGCTCATCCAAGACAAGAAGGAAAAAATGACCCAGAGGTAAACAAAAGAGTTGGATCATGGGAGACAGAAAGCAGTTAAATGTGTAGGTAGAGGCAGATGACTGAGGTGCAGGGCAGAGATGGGTTTCTTTAAACAGCAGAGGTCTTCTGAACTCTGCTCTCATCTAAATCAATCATCTCAGCAGTTTCAGAGAGATGTCAGCCAGTGCTGGGAAGTCCTGCAAGAGTGTCCCCTGATCAAAAGGAGCAAGTGGGGAAGTATCAACTCCTGCTCTGGCCATAGGGAAAATAGGTGGAGGTGTTTCCTAACCTACTGCATTCTTCACCACTAGATGTCAAAAACACTTTGCAAAAGCACTCAAATATTCCTGCCTTCACCATAGATAGACAAGACTACCCCAGTTTCTCCAAGTTCATCCTGCAAACCCATTTTCAAGACCAAATCCAGTGCTCTGACCAAAAGAAATGTAGGACCATGAATGGCGTCTTGGAGTAGGGGGTCACTTAGCAAGCCAAATGATGGCTTCACTAAACGATGAAGCCTAATGAGGGCTTATGATGTTTCAGATGGGTAGTCAAGCCTTGAAAGCAAAACATTGCAGAGCCCAAACCTTGAAAGCTTCTCATATAAAATCAAATTGACTGGGCCTGATGAACAGAGAGCCTTACTTATACCCCAGTAACTCCATTCATTCAAAGGCACGACTTTCAGTGATGTCAGGACAAAAAAGAGTAATTGCAATTCTCACAGTCTCTGGAGAGAGGTTTAGAAATTTTCTCTTTGAAGACGCCTCATAAATGAAGCCTTAAAATTCCATTTTTCCCCCCAATTCTCAATCTGATGCATAAATATTATTTAAAAAAAACCCAACACTTGTATAAATAAAAATATAAATGCATCCTGTGTTCTCTCCCACACCCCATTCTTCCTCCCTCCTCTTTCCTCATTGTTTGTTCAACAGGATGTTGGCTTTGCTGTGAGGTACACCAAGCCATCTGTCAAAAACATGGAAACAGTTAACGACGCGCACACACAGAGGCTGGAACGACATGTTACAGAGCCTATTTGAGGTCAGAATTAGAGACCATGCCTTGAGAGAGCAATCCAAGCCCCAAAGCTGTGTCTACTTAAACCAAATTATAGCTTTTCCCTTCTTACAAAGGGAATGTCACTTTGCTTAAGTGGTAGCTCTTCTGGGATACACAAGAGCTGGCAGTACAATGTTCTGAGAGGATCACAGGAAGGCCTGGCACATCCAGGAGCAACTGAAGTAGCGTGGTTTGCTAGAAGTCAGAAAGAGTTGTTCTGCATACATGAAGATACCAGGGGAATAGGAAGGATGTAGGAACAGTTTTGGAAGTTTCTACTGAAAATAAAGGATAATAATAAATTATCACAGAATTTTAATCTCTAGTGACCTCTTTAAAACCTTCCACCTGAAGATAGATGACTCTTTGTAGAGTCTTACTCTAGGTCAATCTTTCAGCTGATGTCTGTGAACATCAGAGACTCTCAGGAGATCTTGCACTGCTCTCAAGTTGGGGAAGATGGATCTGCCTGAAATGAGTGGTTTGAAGCCATATCTTAATTCGCTACCCTCTCCAAAGGGTTACAGAAGGGAAAATATCTACTTCAGAACTGCAGTCTTGCATAAACTGATTTGGCTAGCAGGAAGTTCAAGAACACTGTACTCTCAATCGCAGGCTGGAATACCACACTAGAGAGGGATGAGTGGATGGTTCCATACCCTTGCGGTCCTCTGGCGTGCTGAGGCCATCCAGTAGAGCTTCTAAGCAGCAAGGTTGCACAATTAAATATGATTCTCAGGAAAGAAGAGACCCCAGCTCCTTCTGTGATGGAAGAGAAGAGCCAGATGCTGAAGCCAACACCACGCATGACACTGGAGCTGAAGACATACAGATCAAAAGCTCCATAAACCATTACCAGGAAAACATACAACTGGAAACAAGTGGCAATAAAAACTGCAACACTTAGAGATCAAAAACCTTAAATCACCATATTTCTTTATTTTAAAAGTACAGGATGAATTGAAGTTAAAATGTCCTGCAGCACATTTACATCAACTCATTATTTTTCAAGCATGTCCCTAATTCATTTCACAGCACAGGTCTGAGAAAGCATTTGTAATTTACAACTAAACACAGATGGAAGACGCGGTTTTTATAAAACCACACTTACAAAGGTTGCTCTCTCCTAAAAATCCTATCAACAAAAACCTGACAGCAATAGAAAATGCGAGTGGCTTTAACTCTAGACATCACTGAGAACCATGATAACCCTTTGAAAAAAGTGTCCTCTAGGAAGTAAGACTAAGAAATATCAAAGCCAATAATACCAAGCACTGATCTTCAGGTCAAGTTTTGTTTGAAATCACTATTACAGTCAAAATTGTGATGAAGGAGTTAAACCTTTATGTTTCCTTTGAAGGACTGAAATATCCTGGGCACCTCAGAGTCCCTCTCAAGACCAAGTTCCCCAGTTTTGAGGGCTCCTCACAGATGCCCACACACTACCCAGACCCTCACATGCATCAGTGATAAAGGAAACCAAGGTGGTTCTGTAGCTAGTAGCTACTAGCACTGAATGGAATTAGCTGAAACAGCACAGCAAACGAAAATACAACTGAAATGTACTACAGCATGTGAGGGCTAAATAAAGCCAGCTTCTTTACTTCTTGGACCCACTCAGTTTTCAATCACTGAAAATGAAAACCTTGTCCTTTTTAAGAAGTTAGACTGTTCTGACAACAATTTGTCTAATGTCAAAGAGTTGTTTGTTGATTATTACCCTCCACAAAATTCTAGATTGCTCTTGACTGGTTTACAGAGCTTCAAATACTTCTGTATTTGAAGAAGGAAAAAAGCCCACTTTGATCCTAGTGGTTTGTCTGGTACCTGGCCAGGATGTATGTTGAGAGCTATCTGATCCAGGATTTTGCCCTTACAGCAAGAGACATGACAGACTTTTTAGGGTCCTGTCCATATATCATAACAGCATAATGGTAGATTTACCCCAAAACAAAGAAGCCAAATGGACCACATAAAATACACCAGAATTTTACACATTTGGGTCAGTACTAAGGAACAGTGTGGCCCGTTTATCTTCTTTAGTGTTTCCCAAGAAGCACAACAACTCTTATACCTACACAAGTCAATGGGGAACAGGGTCAGGCTCCAAGCCAGGCTCAGTGTGGATGTAGCTCATACTCTGCTCCTGAATCTGCATCTGGGCTTCACATTTTTCCCTCATATCCAGAATGGCATAAATGCAATAACAAAGGACACATTTTCGGTATGAGCATAATGAAGGAGGCTCTGCTTAACAACCAGCACTAGCCCAGCTCTGGTAGCTGCCTGGCATTATCTTGTCTGCTGGCCTTTGTTTGATGAAACCTGAAGACTTCCAAGATATGATATGCCAAACCACCAAGTTATTGTCTTTCTCATGTACCCTTCCAGGCACTTCCACATGCCCCAGGAGGATGGCAGCAGTTACAGGACACTCATTTGTCATTTTTGTCATTTGTTTTTTTCCTCCAGTATCTCTCCTGTCTCTATCTAATCAGGGGGATGTTTCCTGTCTTTGTTCTCAACCATTCATCCTACGGGAATGATTATTATCATCAAACAGTATTAAAATAGAAAGCCTGGGGCCAGCACCCGATTAGCATGGAGTTAGGGAGCCCTGGAAGAGAGCAATGGAACAGACCAGGAGCAGCACAAATGGCAAAGAATGGATGGTTTAGGTGGCATTCAAACACAACATCACCCATCTTTAGAAATAAATCTGGGCTTCAAAGCCAGCATGGACAAGTTTAGAATCAATACAGTTCACATACATCTGGCATGTCACCAGTAGGGTTTGAAAATGACACAAATGCCAGTCCCTCCAACAGTTTAAATCTTAGGCTGCCTGGAAGAGAACTCCAAATCTCAGAGCATGGGAAATTGTTCAAGTTTCCTTTGTGCATCAAAACCCTGCTTCTGGGAAGCAATGTCAATTCTCTCCCAAAGGAACAGTATGATAATGGATAGGTCCTCAGAGTGAACAAGTTATTTTAAGCCTAGGGTCCATATTAGAAAAAGACTACTTCTACAGCCCCTCACATACACCTCATTGTTATAGTTATAAAAGTTGGTGCTTGTACTTCATGTACTATACATATATTAGTGAAGGACAAGTGGCTAATTGGAAGACCTTTCCAGCTTGTAGGGGGTTATGGGTAAGATACGACCAAAACTTTGGCTGACTGATCAATTTTCCCTCAGAAACTGTCCCTTCTACATATTAAAAAAGTATATATTCTTGAGATAATAAAAGGCATCATTATGATATTGGTTTTTATTTTTGCAGAAAGAGAAATCAACTCACAAAACCAAACTTGCTTTACCTTGATTTCTAGTTAAAAAGAAGAGTCAATAAATCAAAGGCAAAATATTAACTATTTGAAGTAGGAAATGAACATTTTACCATTCTAATTTGAATGGTAAATTAAAATAAGGTCAGTCTTTTAAACCTTTTCAAATTAGAATTTTTCCAATCTTTTACAAAGCAGTTTTCATGTAAGCCACCCAGGGCAGTACTGAGGAAGATTTCCCCTGTACTCATCACTGGTGAGGTCTCTGTTGAGTACTGTGTTCAGTTTTGAGCACCTCAGTATATAAAGGACATGAGGTGCTGGAGCAGGTCCAAAGAAGGGCAACAAGGTTTGTGGGGGGCTTGGAGAATATGGCCTATGTGGAGAGACTGAAGGAACTGGGGCTATTTAGTCTGGGGAAAAGAAGGATGAGGAGAGATGTTATTGCTCTCTTCCAATACCTGAAAGGTGATTGCAGCGAGAGCAGGGTTTGTCTCTTCTCATTGGTGACAAGTGACAGGACGAGGGGAAATGGCCTCCAGTTGTGCCAAGGGAGATTTAGGTTGGATATCAGGAAAAACTTTACAGAAAGGGTGGTTAAACACTGGACTGGGTTCCCCAGGGAGGTGGTTGAGTCATCATCTCTGTATGTGTTTAAAAGCCTCTTGGAGGTGGTGCTCAGGGACATGATTTAGCGAAGGGTTGTTAGAGTTAGAGTAGTATGGTCAGGTTGGACTTGATGATCTTTAAGGTCTTTTCCAACCTGAGCAGTTCTATGATTTTATGATTCTGTGATTCTAAGAGCTAGGAAAGCCCAGAAGTGTTCCTGCCTCCCCAGCCAGGTTTTCTCATCACTTCAAACACAAAGCCACCTGATGACAGAGTTGATGGGATGATGTTCTTCCACCACCCTCTGCATTAGCACAAGTTGACACAAGTGCCAGGTCATGTACACAAGGACAGGTGCAAGGTTGTGCTGTCACTTCTCCTCACTCAAAGTATCTCTGGTTTGAACCTTACTCTGGTCCCTAGTTTCTTCACCTGCTACATATACAAAAAACTAAACCGAGTTGGGACAGTGCTCTGACTTTCTGCATTGCTGTGCCATTATTAATTTAATTGCTATAACTTGTTTGGGGAGGAAAATTCCAAGCAGTGGCCTCTAAGATGTAGAGAAATTCAGAACTGAGGTTTTGGCTCACCACTTTACTGCCCTGTGGAAAAGAACAGAGTTGGGTTTAAAGACATATTCATAAATTTAAAGCTTGGGATTGTAATTATTGTCAGTCTATGTGTTTTAATTTTCAATTTTTCCTACTTTTTAACTGTTGAATAGTAAGAAAAGCTCTCATGCTTTAAAGGACAAGTCTGTGAAGTCACGTTTTTCTTCTTTTTTTTTTTTCTTTTTTTTTCTTGCTCGTCTTTATACAGCCTGGCGCCAAACATTACATTGGTGTAAATCATGGAGTTGATGGGAACTTTGCTCATTTATATCCAATAAGCGCCCAGTCTCCAGTATCTCCAGATAAAGATCTTGTTGTGTTTAATGCTGCATAAACACACAGGATGATGCGTTCCCTGTTTTTAAGAAGTTTGTTTAACTTTTTGGGTCTCATCTTCAGTTACAATAGCAAACAACGGGAGGGAAGGGTGGAGAGAGGGTGAGATAGCAGCAATGAGATCATGCAGCACAGAATCCGGTAAACTCAAGGGTGAGAAGTCTTTCAAACAAAACTATCTCTGCAAAATCAATGGGAGAAAAAAAAAAAAAAGAGGCTAAATTAAGCCTTCATTCTATTTAAAACCCATATACAGCATCTCACATAATTGCATTACATAAACACAACTGTGTTATATTTACAGTTCAAAACAAAACAAAAAACCCTCAGTTGTAAGACAAAGTCCCACCCTGCTATGGCATTTGCATGCTGAAGAAGCACATCCACAAGTGAGATGTGTCATGCTTGCAGATGTCCATGTCCTGCTGCCCCTCCAAGACCCAGAGCCCTGCTGCGGGGACAGCAAACCCCAGGCACCAGGTACAACCAGTGACAAAATACAAAAACACCCATCAGCAACGTGGTAAAAAGCACTGGCCTGTGAACAAACCACGGGCTACGATTCTTGCTCAAGCCATTTCACAGTTTCCAGCCCTTCTGCAAACGGCTCTGGATGTTTCCACAGGAAAATCACCAGCCATCCTCCAGCCAAATTCTTCACTGCCCACTGGAACATCTGCTTACCAGAGTCATCCAGCCTCGCCTGTCACTGCTTTCTGAGTCACACGGGAGGCCCATACCAGTTGCTCTGCAGGGGTTGCACAGAATTCAAGTGTACAAGTGAAGTGGGAACATTCAACACCCAACAGCCTGTGGATACCAAATCATGGCCACTGACACAGCTTCCACAGAGCCCTTTGGATTCAGTGGCAGGGCTGGAGGGCACTATGCAAAAGTTTCCCAAGGTGGAAGGAATTGTGGTCCTGCTGTTGTGCAACACGTGAAGTCACCAGTGGTTGTATCGAAATAAACCTTGACTAACGTGATGCAACAGCCTTGGCACAGATTTTGGTGTAAATGATTGCCCTGCAGGGCACAAAAACTTTCATCTCATTGGGTAGAGGTGTAGCAGGGAGCCCACAAAGCCCTATTTCTCCATTTCTCTGTTCTGGTTTCCCTCTCCACCTAACTTGCAGATCAGGATTCCTCTAGGTGCTCTTCTAACCCACCTCACACATGTTACTGCACTAACATTGGTGCCAGCTGGACTCCTGGAGGACTTTCACACCTTCCTACTTCCTATCCCTGGATCACTTGTCCTCACTTCTGCTTCTATGAAGTTCTGATGTGCCCTGATCCATATGTGAACTAATATTTACCAAAAGTACTTAAATAAGACCTTAATCTTGTGAATACCTGGGACAATTCATTGCAAGCATCATACATTAGCTTCCCAGGTGTTAAAAACAAAAAACAAAAAAAAAAACAAACACAAACAAACTGGAAATAAACCAGCCTTTCTTCTCTTTCTCATTCACAGTTCCATTCAGTCCCAGTCCTCTCCCTTCCTAAAAGTGCATGGGACATCCGTGTAACAGTTGTATTTACTTCTTTCCAGTTTGCCTCTGCCATTTCCACTTGAATGAGGTATTTTGCAGCTGATGCTCAGCTCCAGCTATTTCTAGGCATAAGAGGTGGCTAATGGGATCAGGGACCGACCTTGGCACACCAGGCATGCAAGCATTTAATTCTGCCACCCGATTTATAACCTAGCAGACACTCCTGTGGTGATAGCACTTTGCAGCTACACTGCAGCCACCAATGCGGAGGTGATAGACACTGCTTTTTAAAAAGACATCAGCTCTTCAGGGAAAAGAGGGAATCCAATTATAAAGAAAATTAATTTTTTTGCCATCATTATCCTCAATCTGAAAGAAATCTCAGACAGAATGACTAATCAGGCTCCAGCCAGCACAACCTTGGCTGCTGGCAGGGAGAAGAAGGTGAAAGCAGAGTCAAGTAGCCATGGGTCCCTCCGCCAAACACGGGGATGCTGCAGGAGAAGGGGATTGCAAACTGTGGGAGGAAAGGTGGGCAGTTGGACCCCTCTAAACACCAAAAACAGAACAGAAAAAATCAAGAGAAGGGATTCCTTGTAGTCACGTGACTTTAGAAATACATTCTATAAGGGATCCTGCAACATCAGCTGGTGAGAGATGGTGTAACCTGCAGCGAGAAACAGCAGAGAGAGGAACCCAGCTTGGAGGAGAGTTGGATGGATAGCTAGACCTGTGGGTGCTGTGCACATGCTGGGCAGCGAGCTCTGAGGAGTGCCACTTTCTCCTTGACTTCAGGCTCTGGCTAAACAAAGCTGCATTGTTTTGTATCAGGTTCTGCTCCTGCAGCCTTGCTGGGGCTGAGAAACAAAGGGGGCTTCATGCAGGACAAAAGGGGCCTGTTCTACCTAATGAGGACCAGTTGAGAGGTATGGAGACAGCACCCTCTCAGCATCAGCCCTGGGGCTGCGAACAACTGCTGTCCCGCGGCTAATGAAGAGCAGTTGAGAGGTGCAAGTGGTGCGAACAGTCCAGCCAGCAGCAGGGCCAGCCTCAAGGGACGGCAGCCCGGTCAGGGCCGGACCAGTGCAAGGAGCCTGCTGGGTTCATCTGTCACCGCACTGGCTGCTGACCTGGGGCCCCGGCCTCGCTCCCTGACCTCTGGGCACGACCTCCCCACTGAGGCGTGGGTGCTCGGCCAGGAGCTCTCTATTGACTACCTGTCAGAGGGCACCTGCTTAAGGAACCCTATTGAAATTAAAGTCAGAAAATGAGTCACGAGGGACTGGTTGAGCTGGGAAGCTAGCATTAGACCCTGGTTGGTAAACCAATCTCCCTAATTATCTGTCAGAAGAATATCCCTTGCTTTTCTTCTCTTTTCTTTTTCCCCTTCCCCCCCACTGCTCTCTTCCCAGTCATCTCTTTGGCTCATTATCTTAATTTCACATTAACTGAAGGGATTAAAAGCACCTTGTGAAGGGAAGGGGGGCTGGCAGAGATTGAAGAAAGGAAAAAGATTCAAGGCTTCCAAAGGGAGCCTTTGGGGAGCTGAGCCAAGCAGCAATGTCATGAGCCATGAGGCTGCTTCCACCCTGGTGATCTGTGTTGGGGTATCATGGACGGGGTACGTAGGCGTATCATGCTGCACTCTGCTGCGCTTTCATATCCAGCCCCCATATCTAGCATAAAAGAAAACAAACCCACAACGGAGCAGAGAAACCAAACTCTGTTTAAGGGAGGACGTGTGGCTGGTGCTCATTTTCCCACCCTTCTCCCCTGCAGTGTAATTTCATGCAGCTACTGAGGTGTTTCTAAAGCTTGCGGGCACACTGCAAAAGATTTGCTGTTGCAAAGCCCATGGAGCTGCTCTCTGCTGCCAGCTAGGCTGGGTCTCACTGTGGCACTCCCTGCACCAGTGAGGCTGAAGCCCTACGGATGAGATAGACTCCTCAGTTCTCCCTGAATGAAAATTTGTGCTGCATAACATTCCATTACTTCTGCTTTACTCTGATAACATTAGGAAAGGCATGGGAATGTCGTGGTTTGCCAGACTTGGGTGTCTTTTCTTTACTCTCCCTTGCTTAGATGGGACGAAGGTGGGAGTGCTGCTGCTCCCCACCATACAGCAGGCTGCATAGAGCAGAAAAAAGCCCAGGGTGGGCTCATCTCCTGCAGCTGCTCCCTATGCCCAGCACCTTCAGTCTGCTGATGCACAGAGCACATCAGTGGGTCATAGCTGAGGATCCTCCCTCTAACTCTCTTAAGCCAGCACATCCCACACTCAATTAGTGTTATGGCCTGAAGATCATTAAACACGTTACTAATGAGACTGATAATAACACTGCACTTCTTGAGCATATTTTCTTTATCCTTTTTTTTTTTTGGAAGGGAAGGCAAGGTTAACGATACTCACCTGCCCAACCTCCAAGGAAGTCATCCTAAAGCAACCACTTCAATTTCAGAAAACTCCAACAGAGCCAGCCAGAATTTGACTGTAGACCTGAGCAATGATCTCCCACAAGCAACAGGAGTATTTGATCCAAAACCCTTTCTGAAAAGCAGAATGGGAATCACCTCTCTTCTGGCTGCCTGTGGTGCCCAGCAGAACATCCTGATGCATACCATCTGGATGCCAGGGCCAGCACTAAAAAGCTCTAGCTTTAGGAAGACAATTGTTTATTATGCTCTGAAACTTCTTAATTACAACAATAGCAGACAAATCCCAAATCGTCAAACCAACAACCCCCTAATCTGGGATGTAATTTGTTCCCAGCTCAAGTGGTTGCTCTGAGAAATGAGGCCAGGTGGGCTTGAGTACCTCCCCCCAAGGATCAGATCCAAGGGTTTATGGCAGAGATAGCTAGCAGGGAATTTTCACATGGGTCTAGGTTTCAACATGAAAAACTTTGCCCTGTACTGCTCCTAACCCCTTGAAAAGACAGGACTGCATTTCAAGTTTTGATCACAAATCTGGCTGTAACCCATTACCCTGTTAAAAGGCCAAAGATTGAGTAGTATATAACTCTGCAGCTAGTCCCATTGGATTCCCTGGGATTAGTTTTGCAGCCAAATACTTGCATTAAGTGTGAATAAAGACATCAAACTACAGCCTTACGTGTCAATGATTCATTGTCAGAATTCCTAGAAGAGAAGGGACCCACACAACAGCCTCATAGCTGTGAAGTGACCTAATAACATGTTGTCACACAGATAGGAAAACTGCACCCACTGAGAGAAGAGGAATAATACATTATCTAGTGGGGAAGTCACTGGAAGCAGAACTGAGCTCACCCCAGAACAGTTGGTTTAAGCAGAACTATGACTCTCCTCCTTTACCCCTAGAACCACCAGCAAGCAAATAAATGTTGGATGGGTCTCAGAGCCAATGCTCCTGTCACACCTGAGGTCAGGTATATCTGGTCACTCCACAATGAACCCAAGAAGTTTTGGATGCTGTTTTATTGGGTGAAAACATTTGCTCACAGTCAAATGATAAGGAAGGCTTGATGCAATGGGCAAAAAGGACAAGGAAGAAAATAGTGGTAAAAAGACATTTTTTACATATTTTCTCCTGGTCATCTTCCAGGAAACTGATAAAACTGGTTTCAGATGTAGTTTTTATTCAAAGTGCAACCACATATCTTTTGGTTGAGTAGAACCAAGCCTGTAGCACAGGGATGGAGGGAAGGCAGCTTGCCCTGCTTAATGGCCCACAGCCGTGAGAAGGCATTGTAACTGCAGCAGGAAAAGAAAGCAGCACAATTCCCATTTCCCATCCCCACCAGTACCTATGAGGGAGCTGAAGCGTTTCCAAAGAACTGTCTGTGCTTGCAAGGGTCTGTGGTTTTACTAGAGATACCTGCTGAGAAACACTGTTAGCTTAGCCGGGAACAAATGTCATGAATGTAGGAGCATACACATACAATTCAGTGTCATAAATGGGAAAAGTCATCCTCTGGGCTTCAGCCTGCAACATCAACAGGCCTGAAAACCAAACTCTGAGCAAAGATAACTCATCCCACCTTAGCGAAAAGACCTTTTGCCTTTTCCTCCCAGTTCAGTCTCCCTTTTTTCCCCCCATTAAGGACTTTGCTTTATCCTCCCATGGAAATTTCATGCATTTTAAACAGCACCATTGAAAAGAAACCCCTTGAAGTGGAGCATTAGGACAACAAAATGGAACATCAGCATTACCCCTGGGACACTGAGCAGGCCCAAAATGTCAGTAAGTGGGGAGGAAGCCATACTCCTCTAAGCTTTGAAAACATCTTTGTTTCAAATGCTTCTCTGAGGATTAAAACCCAAGAAAACCTCATTTGCTGCACTCAAAGGCAGCTTTCCTGAGGCACATTTTGGAGTTTTCAGCACCTCCCATTCTTGGGCACTGTGGCAGGGCACAAAGCAAGGCTTCCTGGCTGTCTGAATTTCTAGCGTGACAAAACTCACTTAGATCCCCATTTGGAAAAAAGCAGCCAAATTCT